GTTGCCATGTTCCCATCAATCACGTAGCTCCATTTTCTGCCTTTAAAAGCACACACAACCCACAATTCCTCTATTCGCTCCAACAAAGGGCTAACGCTCGAAATGTCAGCTTTTATAACCGTAACGGTGGCCAATTTACCATTTCAACTTTGTTGATATATTCAAATTATTTCATTACCCCCACTGATGCAGTGCCAAACAGTTTCTTTGAAACTATCAGCCTTTATTCATTTGTACAATACACTGTGTACTGAACAATGTACTTAATTATACAGTTTAGAAGATTATACCTAGGAGTACATTTTTTTTAACTTGCTTTAATACATAACTGGGAGCCATAAATACAGTGGGGAAACTGTATTGTGACATGTTTTATGGAAGTATCAAATGTATAGAAAACATTTATTTTATAGTTACTGACATATTTTGCTACAACATTGTTTCATTTTCCAGAAAGACTCTTCATATAAGATCCATGGAGGTTTTGCTGGGTAAACAGGTTCTTATATTTCTGGGTTTCAAAATCCAAAATTTTTGCCAAAAAGGTTCTTAAATACTAGGTTCTTACCCGCGGGTTTTTACTGTATTTGGTTTCTGAAAGTTATAATGATTCTACCTTGAGTGTTAAAAGCACTCCAGGTGGGCATTTTGTTTGAGTTGAAATCTTTCCTCTCCATTTGAACCTGGAGTTACCATAATAATCAATAAATTCCAAGTTTTTTCTGCTCAGATTAGTTGCCCAAGTGCAAACCGCGTGGGCCTTAGATCCAAGCAGAGAAAATTACTAACTCAGTAATGACTGTAAGTTTCAGTGTGAAATAAGAGAAAACGGTCAGTAAAAGAGAGATTTTGATTTGACCCATGCATAATCTTTCACAGGTCGCAACATCTGGAGTCTTGCCATCAACCAAGATGAAAATCTTATAGCCACAGGTGGTGGAGATGGAAGCATCAGGCTGTGGCCATTATCAAATCCTGATCACAACAGCAATGCCATTTCAAGAGAAGCTCGTCTACCTTCCTTAGATACCAAAGCTGACAATGAGATAAAAACAAAGAAAACCAAAAAGGAGGATTATCCAAGATTTGTGAGCTTACTGGACCAGTCTAACTTGTTGATCATGACAAATGATGGGTGGGTAATTGTATTTTGTCAACAGTTTTCTCAACAATCACAGTTTTTTAAGAAGTTTTCCAAGAAGTTTTCCATTTGAGAGAATTGGTCATGTAAGAGAGGAGACCATCTCAACTTATGACAAAGGAGTAGCTCTTGGCCTTTTTTTCATACCTGTTTCAGATGTTCTTTGTTTGTTATTTAACTCTTTTACTACTTGGAGTGCTCAACAAACTGACCATCTGTTAATAAAAATACTTTTCAGATATCAGATTCTAAGATCCAGAGACTTCATAAGTTAAACTTTAACCTGTCCAAACCTTTTATTTAATATGCATTCTGTCATGAATGAAGTGCACCAACCTCCAAGACATAGCGGGCTGGACATCTGCAGGAACAAGAATTACTTTTTGTTACCTCTAGAAATGCACTCCTAGAAATGTAACAATAATATGAAATAATAGAGCGCAGTTTTCACTTGGTATAAAAAAAACAAAACCAATTGAAAGTAACCACATCCGCAAATCAGGGCGAAGGTCAGCATGATCTTTAGCCAATTAGAACTCAAATTAAAAGTGGGCAAACTGTAAGAAATGCAGAAAAACGTGAATGACCAAATCATGATTGGTTCTAGTTTTGAATCTGGTTTGTTGAGGTGTGATGAGTTTCTGGACCAATCATCGAGTGAAGTAAAGCAAAACCAATCATGGGTTTCTTTGTACACTCAATTGAAGACAGTTCTCTATTACCCATTGCTAATTAAAAGTATCATTCATCCTCCTCTTCTATCCAGGTGTCTGTATAAGTACAACTGGATGAATGACAAGAGTTCTCTCGCAGACCACAATGTCTTGTCACTAAGTTCAAACACTGATCACTCAAATCATAAAGAACAATCATGGATGCTGCTACTCAAAGATGCAGAGTATTCCTCTTATAGTGTTGTGGCTTTGTCTCCTTGTTGTAAGATGATTGCTTTTGGAAATTTGAAAGGAAAAATCAAACTGCAAGATGCAAGTGAGTAGGAACCAACATCATGATGGCTGTTGATCAAAAGCAATAGAGCTTTAACAAAAACAACAACTGCTTTGTTCCTTCAGAAATGTTATAGATGGATTTTGTTCTTGTTTAATAATGATTTTCTAGCTGAAATATTCTGCAAAAGATTTCCACGTCCTCTAACGGATGGCCAAATTTTTTGAACCCCTATCACTCTATTACCTTGGTTTCCAAAACCACTGGAGCTCCCATTTGCTTTGGATTTCTAACCAGCTCATGTCTCATTCAAAGTTCTTCGATTGAAGGCATAGAATTTATAGTAAAAGCCTAGGACTTTATTGAATGTACTAAGAAGTATTGTAAATACAATTATGAAAATACCCAAAAGTAACCTTTTCTAACCATTTTCACTGCATTACCGCAGTAGGGTAAGACTAGAATGGAACATATGCGAACCATGTGAATAGTCCATCCAATAAATCCCATTCATCCCACCCTAGGGGAGGACATCCATCACACAGTAATCTCATGTGTGGGAAATTAACATCTCCTACCCCTAACCCTGTAGGAGAGGGGACCTCCATTTATTGGTCCCTATCCGAGAAGACTAGAATATCTAACCTTTTCTTAACGTTATAGAAAGGTAGCATATTCTTCACAATTATTTTAAGACCTTGAGTGTTGGTCCGGCCGGGACTTGAACCCTCTACCTCCTGCACAACAGTCCAGTGCTCTATCCATTGAGCTAACTGGGAGGCGGTATTTTGGAATGTATGACAGACAATGTTGAGAATTGATAACTTGATGGTGGGAGTCAAAGGGTTAAGTTGTCTAAATTCTCTCACCAGATTTCAATCACCCCAGTGTTGAACTACAGGCATACTCAGGTAAGGTTCACAGTCTGCTTTGGAGCCAGCAGTATTCTCCTCGGCATCTCTTTTCGTGTGGGCCAGATGGACAATTCACATGGTGGAATATCATTTGCACCAAAGGAGAAACTACTACATTTGATGTGAACCCTTTGTGCGTCTTCATTCTTCCACCATCCAAGCAACGTTGGGCATCAGCCATTGAAATCTTCCAAACAACTGATAAAGAGATGTGGACGAGTGAATCTGCTGTGGTAGTCTGTGGAGATAGAAAAGGGTCATTGCATTTGTTTGATCCTAACATTGGTGATTTGTCCGCTGAAAAGGCAGGTTGTATAGTCCTCAGATTTAAGATTCATAGTTAATTTCACAGCAACCATGACAACCACCTGCATTTTTTGTTTCTTACAAATGGAAGCAAGTGTCCAGTATTAACCCTGTAAACCCTTATATCAGTTTCCATATTCTCCATTCTGTTCTCTATACTTTGTTGGCAGGCACGCACTGACAAGGAGAATTTGTTTAACAATAAAAGCTTCTCAGCTATAAAAATTTGAAAAAGTAGGTGGTCAATATCCAGTCATCTTGACCTGGCACTTGGTCAATAATGTATATTTCACAACTTCAATACACTGTCAAACAGACAGTTACTAAAATAAATTTAAAATTATCATCCTTGATGTTTTTTCTTGATAACAGCTTACAAACCTCGCTTGCAGGGTCTCTCCTCTTCTTACCCTCCTTGTGACACCAGTGGGGTGGGAAGGGGAGAAATCCTAGAAACCAGTTAGACAGCCTACAATGGAAGTTATGGTTATCAGTCAGGCGATCAAGAGTTCAGTCATTGTTTGTTTGTTTGTTTGTGTTTTTGAGTGCAATGGATAGTAAAGAGTACTCATCAATTCTGGTAAAAGAAAAACAAAGAACTTGAACTCTTCACCGTGAACTAAAAAAAGTTGTTGAGATATATTAATATTTGAATCTTTCAGTGTATTGGCCCAGCACATTCCCTTCCTTTGCTTCATGGTAAAGCTGGAGTAAGCCACCTGTGCCTTCCTAATAACACAATATACTCAGCTGGGAGAGATGGAGTGTACAGACAGCTTAGAATACAAAACAATACTTTGGAGGTTATAGATACCAAAAAGGTAAATATGATATAGCTCCCAAGTTCTGATTATTAATTCTCCCTTATAGCTGATACAAATCCCCTGTGAATTAGTTACAAGAATTTGGTGTTAGATCAGGATAACAGCTTCTACCTGATAAGTGTGAGTTTGCTTGATGATGTATGGATATTATAGGGGGAAGCTACATGTCTGGCTTGTACCAGCAACCTAACCTGGTACCAATGGTGTAAGCCAGCAAAGCAGTGACCCTGGGGGATGCATGGACTGCACTTTAAGCAAGTGCAAAAAAGACACCTGAAAAAAATTCAGGCTTTAACTAGGATTGGAAGTTGTGGCCTCCAAGATGCTAGTTGGGTGCTACATCTACAAAGTGTCTTAAAGGCACAGAAGCCTACATCTTCTTTTTCAGGCTTTTCTGTAATTATTGCTTAATTTGCAGTTGACCTTTGTGAATCTTGCCTTTGCTTGATTTTCATCTGCAGGTCAAATCAGATTTACTTCATTAGAAAAAAAAAAAACTTAAAGCTAACCTACTTATTAAAAACTCTTTAGGTTTATAAAGGCTTAGACTGGGTCGAGCGGCTGCTGTTCACAGACAATGGAGATCTTCTCATTGCAGGCTTCCATGCTGTAAGACATTTTAAGTGTATTTTTTTGCCAAAAATTTTATTTGCTAGTGCAGGATACAAGTTAAATTCTTTTACTTCTTTTCGATTTTGTTGTATCTCACCACACAGGCATATTTTGTATTATGGAGTGTACAGCTCAATGAGCTCTTGTGGAGAGTGACGTGTGGTGGAGCGCACAGAGTCTGGGACCTAATCCTTGAACAGTCGGTACATAATCAAGTGCTAGTACAAGAAATCACGCACACATGTGCACTCAAGGATTTTGAGATTTTTTGATAAGAGTGGTGCTTTGAAAGTTTTCACAAATTTTATCTTACATTTGATTAATGTCATTTTTGATAATTTTTTACCTGTTGGAAATCCTTGACTAACCTGCTCACCACAAATAAGCCCCCAGAGGTTACAATCATCCCCCCCCATTGAAATAGTTACCTCCCTCCTTCCCCCCTTCCATATTTTTATGGATGAGAGCTGAGACAACAAGGAATTTATAGTGTTAGTTGTGTCTGTTATTTCTTGTTTGGCCTTGAATAGATATACCATACTTTCTTCAAAATAATTAGCAATTATACACTGAAGTGGAGGTGTATAGAGGTGTACAATTATTTACTGAGCTGCAGTGGTGAGGTAAATATCCACCACTTTCACGGATACTGATGTGAATATACCACAAAGATACCAAAAATTAAGTTTGTTTCTTTCAGTATATTGAAAAATGGTCAGAAATTAAACTGTTGAAGGGTGTTTTTGTCTCATCTGCTGCTCGGAGGTGAATAGTACTTGCTATTCAGTTCCGAACTAGCCAATCAGTGCGCGTGAAAAGAACTATTCACTTGTGTGGTATATACTAACAAAAATCATACTGACTGCTAATTGTATCTGTTAAAAGAGATCAGTGTTGAATATTGATACTCAGCTTAGGTAATTTCTATTCTGTGGAAATACTGCACAATAGAAAGGAAGCGTCACATTTATTCATGATTTAGGAAAACATGATTAACCCTTCCCTGGGATAAACCTCCCTTGAATTGACTCCTTCCATATTCTCCTAACTTTGAAGAAAGTGTCATGGACGTGATTTGAGGATATATGGCATTTATCACCAGGATTCATCTGTTCGTGGAGGAGTGCTGGCCTTTATCAAAGACTCCACCATTTACACGCACAAGATGACCTTCCAGTGTGAGCTGAAAAGGACGATGTTGAAGGTAGTCAACTTTGCTAAGTACATATTTTTACTGGTTGTGACACGTAATAATTGTACATTTTAATGTTGATGATCCTACTCATGCTGGTATTAGGGTCCTTAAGCAAACCACAACCGCAACGACAATGAGGACGTGGCAAAATAAAAAATCTACTGGGCAGAATAATTGCTCAGCTCATGCTTTTTAAAACTTTGTTCATTTCTTTAGCCATCCCCCACAAAACAACGACGCGAAATCACCAATAACAAAATCCCGTGGTTTAAGAATGGAAACCTTATAAGGCATATTATGAAAGTTTCCATGTGGAAGTCAACGCTGCCCACTTAGTTAAAGTGTGTTGCTATACACATCCACCCATTCACAAATTCTAACTAAAAATATAAGTTCATTTTCTTATCTACATCTTCCTTGGCGTTGCTGTCCTGACTGCTTTTAATCAGTTGAAAAATTAATAAGGATCTTAAAAGGTTTCTATTAATTTTCACAGGTCTACCATGTGAATTTTTTAGAGAATTTACCCCTCTATATAATCAATCTTTATTTATAATACCGCTTTTTTTTTCTAATTCACAGTCAGGTTTTCATGGACGAGAAGTGACGTGTATTTGTCATGTAGATTCACTTGTGGGGCAACAAGGTAGGCAACTCAAGAAAACAAATGTAGAGGTGACTTTAAACCCAATCATGTTTTAGTTTTTTACAGTTACATGTAACAGGAGTTGGAAAATTGCTAAGGTCAGACTCCATCTGAGAGGAGATTCAAATACTGTAGTTGCTTCAATTAGCTTGAGGGATGGGGGAGGGGTGGGGGACTTAGCTTATTAATATTCGTGTTCTTGGGGAAGGGGGAAAGGAGGATTTTAAAGAGTGAGTGGGCCTGCTCAGCTTCCACATATACGATGTACAGTATGTCTTTGGTTGAAAAACTTGCAAAAGTCTTCCTATATACTAGACCAAATGAAAGACAATACTACTCACCAATTACAGGGCTTTGCTTCTTTCTCCTGTATGTTTATATTGAAGCTTTTGTTTACGAAGAGAGGGAGGGCGGTGGTTAGGGTAGGGGTGGAAACCTGTTGCTCTGGATGGAAGGGGGGAGGGCTTACCAGAGAGGGTAACTTACAAAAATCTTGGAGCTTTAGATAGACTGGGGTGGGGCCTATTCGAGTGTTAATGCCATATATAAATTGAAAGTAACCGTTGTACCAAACAGCACCAGAACGATTAACAAAGTTTAATGATTAGTTCCACTTACGGTGTTGAAGTGTTTCTTCAGCTGTTTGACTCGCTGGTTTCTTTTTCAGGTGGTATTAGTGACATAGTTGTGACAGGGAGCGAAGATACAAACATCCAGCTAATGATTTGTATCCATTTGTTTAACAGTTAGAGCAGTTTGTTTATTTTTTAACGCCATTCAGTGGCAAGAAGGTCTTTACTGCTGAAAAGTTATGTAAAATATTTAGTAATTATACTGAGTGGGGTCAAACTTTTCCATTGGGTAACTATGTTCCACTGGAATTGAGGCGCATTTGAAAAGTTTGTTATTTATTTATTTATTTAATTCGGTATTGAAAATTTCGAGTTTGTTAACGAGTACAGATAAATCCCGATAGTACAAATTGCTTCTGACAAATCGTCAAATTTTGAGTTAGCCGAAGCCATGGTGTAATAACAGTGGAGTGTTGAATTTGAACCACGGCTACGATAGTGACGTCAAGGAGGTTGTTTCGTCACAACCCAATATCACGTGGTTCAAATCAGCCAAGCAGAAAATCGGAATTCGTACAATGTATGAAAGTTGAATAATTCTTTTTTAGCTTACCAATTCATACAAGTCATTAGACACATAAAGATACCATCATGGCCGCAGGAAATTATTTACTTGACAAGGATTCCAGGCTCTGATCCATGAAGCTTGAATTATAACTTTGCCTTTTTTGAAGAGTTCACCGGAAAGTGCCGCTGTGTTAGAAAATGTCGAAAAATTGAAAGTGAACTGCCATTATTTCAATGTATTTGGGAGTGAGAGAATATCGATACTTTCTGATATCTTCTTTCATAGATTGTTTCCTTAACTTTCGTTTTCTCAGCTGACCGTTCCACTGGCGTGACCTCGTCAGTTTTCACTGCCCATGGCCATATATCTAGTGTCCGTGCCTTAAGCGCCACAAGATCCCCGCGGCCAAACTTACAGCCAAAGGAACAGAAAAACGCTTACCCCAAAGGTGATAGGACACATCATCTTCTCTTTTCTGGCGGGGGCCGTGCTTCACTCAAGTGCTGGCGCGTGGATCTGTCATTCATCGATGATAGTCGCCATGGGGATAAGATGACGTCTTCACCTTTGGTTTTTCTTGGAGAATATTCGTTTCGCTTCAGTAATCGCCGGCGGAGACGAAGGAAACACGATTTGCCGTCCTTGTCAGAGATAAGGTTTATGTCTTTGACGTCGTTAAGTGCTGCAAGTTTGAAGGAAAGCTGTCAGTCGTTGTATTTTGTCTTGGCAGCTTGCTCAGATGGGTTTGTTAGGTGCGTGTGATCCTTTTTTTTCCCCTCTTTTTTCTCCTAAAACAAGAAGAGTCTGGCATGTTATTTTAGTAAGTAGACTCTTTGCAACGAGAATATCATTTCATACTTTTTTCTAGAATTTAGAGAATGAAGCTGAAGAGTTTAACTCTTCCCTCTCTGAATCTTTGGTTTACAGCTCGGGTAGCGTCGATCCTTTCGCTGAATGTTTTGTTTGTTTCCTCTCCCATTTTTTTTTTTTTTATGCTTTTTTAGAGACTTGATTTAGAGATTTAACGGTTACCTTGTTTAAATCACTGTAAGATCGACCTTCATTAAAGAATCAGAGGGCGGAAGCCACCCAAACTGCGCCCTCTTATTTTGGTAGATGGAAAATGATAAATGTTAATGAAGTATAAAACGAATGAATTGGAGTCTCCCGCTTTGCCCCGAAGATTATTTGGGGGGAGGTGTAGCCAAGGTCTAGGATGCTCTGTGTGCTCGCTGACGTACAATTTGCGGTTGATACAACACTTATGGCTGCTTCGTGCATGGTGCGTGCCTAGGAGGGTAGGGCTGTCCTTAGATTTCTTGCTGAAAACGTTCATGCTCAATGTACCTATCCCCTCCCCCCACAAGTCTACGCTCTTTGTTACTATTAACAGCATTTGCACGATTTTGTGGTCATTCTATGGGAGAGTGCAGATGCACATGGGGTAACCACCCGTGTGGTTCTGCATAAACTTCATTCTGGTGTCTTTTAAAATCAACTTGCGAAGAAATCCTTTTAGGGCAAAGTCTTGTACAATTTAGTAGTGTTGAAAAATGATTTTCTTTTCTTTAAAATATTTCTTCAGTGACTTAAAACAGTGATCTCTTCTCTCTAAAGAATTTTTAGCTTTGATGAGCGACGAAACAGGTTTTCTCTCTTGGGTCAGTCCCTGTACCTCAAACGCTGTGTGCTCACAATCAGTCACGTGGTTGATTGTTGTGCAAGTGGTGATCCGCTGGTTGTGATGTTTGCCGGCGACACAGCTGGAAGAATTTCTTGTTGGGACATCACTTCATTGTTATGTAACCATCTACGGGAATATTGAGACTTGACGAGCGTGGAGGACATGTTGATGACAAATGATGTGAAGTCAGAAAAGGAAACGCATTCTGCAGTGGACTCGTTAGTGGAAAATGCACAAGAAACTGTCGATAATAATGATAGTGAAAAGAAAGTTTTAGACGCGCACGTCTCCGTAGAAAAGTGTGATACACCTCAAGCTAGAATAGCTGTTTTGGGCTCTGCAAGTTGTGTGACAACGGACATTCACGATTCGTCACGCAGCTGTTGGAAAAGCGGAGCAGTGGAGGATTGCGTGATAGATTATAACGTACATGAAAGGGTGACAATTGCTAATAAACAAACCGTTAATACTGGTCCTTCAGCACAGAACCGAGCTTCAGTCAACTGTGGAGAAGACGTTTTGAATGAAGGCAACTCAAGTGATCGACTCACTTCCACCGGAAGTGAAGTATCTGGTCAAACTAGTCTAACCGGAAGTGAAGTATCTGGTCAAACTAGTCTAACCGGAAGTGAAGTATCTGGTCAAACTAGTCTAACTGATCAAAATGATGAAGTGTTGAATGCCACACTCGTGGACCAAATTGACTTCTCGTGTCTTCCTCTCGTACCAGTCTTCCTTGGTCTTCCTATCCACGTGTTTCACGCGCACCAATCTGGTGTGAATGCAATCTCACTTGCGAAAACTCACGGTAAGTTGAAAGAAAGGATCACACGAGGGTAACCTTGTGTAAATTTGTCTCAGTAAGGAGCCATCGGAAGCGAGTTTTGTAACAGTAATGAGCCAATCAGAAACAGCGCGGCCGTTTGGGAAAATATCTTTTAAATTTTCGCCTTGGGTTTTGTCAAGCAAGTTAAATGGGGAGGATCAAAGAAACTTTTACTTCATTGCCATTATGGTCATTGTAAAATTTTTGACATGAGGGTGTTGCGCTGTCTGCATTTTGAGTTCTCATTTCATGCGCATTGCAAAACTACCTTGAAGGAAACTACAAAACATCAGCTTGGTAAGATGGAAGAACACGGCAGTTACCGTGTCAATAATACACCAAAATGGAACAAAGATGGCGGAAGTAGGAGAAGATTAAACTGAATGCATATGACGAACGTAAAATTTGTAGCCGTCAGCAATCTGTAAGATTCACAAACCGTGACGCACCAACTTTTAGTTGAATGTTGCTCCCATTTTAGTTTCAGGACAATACTTACTGGTCAGTGGTGGTGACGATACTGCACTCTACGCAGCAGAATTCAACTTGAAGCAAAACAAGAATGACGTCACCAATGTTAACATGACTCGTGAAGTGTCTCAACCGTCCGCTCATACGTCATCAGTGACAGGTAACAGTACCTCAACCTCCTTCTTAGGGTCCTCTATCTTCCTTCCTCGAGAAAGGAAGATGGGGGAAGGGAGACTCTGGTAACGAGGTCGACAGTGGCTCACTTGAATTTAGTTTTAGATCCTTTCCTTCGGAGAAGGTTCGCAACGAACTTTGCCATTTAAACAAAGTATCTGAGGATGTCTACTTATTGTGATCCACACTATAAAAGATTGAAGGAAAAGGCTTCCCGTTTTGCAAAGGAGTAAACGTACGGAATCGGCTGGGAATTGAAGAAGAATCGAATGGACTGATTTGCTAAAACGATTTTTCGCCCCTCCCCACCACACCCCCCCTACCGTCGACTCTAACATCAAATCAAACATCGTCGGTTTGATAAAACGATCGCGCGTTTGTTAGCGTAAGACGCATGCACCGTAGGCTGAGTAACTTCCGATATTTCTGTGTTCCTTAGGTGTTAAGGTTTTGGAGGATGGATGCGTCATCTCGTCATCTGTTGATCAGAGAATCATTATTTGGGAGATTGCAGATACAGGGCAGGTATGTGGTCACTTAGGTCAGAGCTGAGTAATCCTACTCATGCACCGACTTGGCAAGCGCTGTAAGCTTTTATCACAACAGAACATGGTGCTCTCCTTGTGCCATGTTTCTTCAAGCCGAAGAAATCGAAACAATAAACGCTTTTCACTCAGCGGACGAATGACTTGTCTATTGAGTACTGTTCTCGGTCTCCTTTAGTACGTCGCATTTGGATAATTCTTCAGTTTCGGCGCAAGTTTGATTAACACGCTTCCAAAATTCTTACTCTTCCTTTTTCCTTTCGTAAGTATCAAGTATTTAGGGAAGCTTTTATTTAATGACCATGTCAGATCCAGTCATTTGTCTGTGCGGTTTTGGTCCTTTTGGACGGAGTCAATTGTAAAAGCATGTTTCAACTCGAATTTGGGTGGGTTGTTGCGGTTCACACAACTAGTGAAATTTTTCTAGCAACAAGTACTCATTTCAATTTTTTTAAGGGTTGTTCAGTTTTCCGTCAGCGTACCTCCGAAATCATGGACGTTGCCGATGTTCAGGACTTGGAAGTCTGGGGCGAGAGGTACTTTTGGCTGCATTACGTGAATGTTTAGATTCGATTTGTCGTATTCTTCATCTTTTTAGAAATTGAAAAGTTACGCAGTGAAGTCCATCCTCGGAAATCCCAAATCTTTAACGTGGAGCCATGTTGTGTGGATACATACACTACACAGTAATCTCGCGCATGGGAAATTTACGTCTCCTACCCCAAACCCTGCAGGAGACGGGACCTACGGCTTTACGTCTTATCCGAAAAGACGAAGCAATGTGCGTGAAGCGTCTTGCCTGAGGACACAACGTCATGCCCCAGGCAGGACTTGAACCCGAGCCAATCGACCCAGAGTCCAGCGCACTGAACACTTGATCGCCCTTGGGTTTTCTTCCACCAACCACCACAAATGACCGTGTGATCAAAAATCTGAAACACTTAAGGCTTGAATTAGACATAAATACCATAGTTATTCAACACTAATAGATGGAAACCTCGCACTGATTAAAAAAAAGCCAAAAGTTTCATGCAAATAGAACGCTTTAAAAGTAACAACTAAAGAAACATCGAACTCGAAAACTTATCAACAGGAACCCCCAAAATATCTTTTTCGAAGTGAGAAAAAAAAAACCCAACAATACTTGATTGAAACTACACAACAACTCTCTCAAATCTACATTTCGAACTGAGTCCGACGAGCAGAAAACGGAAGAAAAAGGAAGGGAATGGTGAGGAATAGAAAGGAAGCACAAGATTTTTTAACTGTTTCCTCTTCCAAAGTCAAAGTCATCTTTATTTAAGCAGGGTGGCCCTTTCAGCACTAGGCTGGTATCAACAGGAGCCCTGCGTAATTAATGATTACTAAATAATAATTGAAAAACTACCACCGGCTAAAAACTACTACAAGATAAAAATACAACGAGTTGAAAAGTTTAGAACTAATCTTTTGCAACCTTAACCAGACTTTGTAGAGGGGTTCCCTCTACTGCTCTGTCGCGACATAACCTCGTCGTCAAAGTGCTTTTCGCATCCTAAGGGAAAAACGCCCTGTGGACAAGATTGTTCTCAAACACCTCCACTATTGTTACTTTACTTTTCATTCTTTTAATATCATTTCTTTCTTATTCAGGAATGGCTGCCTGGTGGCTGCAGTTTGCGGAGTTGGCCTGCAAACTTTTGGTCTTGTCGGAAGCGGCTGAAGCTCTCAATTTCTTAATTTTTTTCCGAATTATTTTGGTAGCCTGGACTTGGATTTTTACGTAAATTGACAAACTAGACTCAATAAATTGAACTGAAGTGAAAGAAGCGCGGCATTCTTTTGTTTGAGCCTAAAATGAGTTGCTAGGCAACCTAACAGAGAAGGTGTAATTTGAAAGCGCAAGACAGCATTGAACGTGGGATAAATATGATTTCATCTTCCTGTGATGTCGATGAATTGCTCAAACAAACTGAGCCATAAAGCCAACTAGGGACTGGTCAATACTCTCTTTCTATGCGTTTTCAAGTTGCTCTCGAAATAGTCCACCCTACTCTCTTTCTTCCTCTTAGAAACTTTGCTTCAAATTTAGTTGAGCCACAAGGTTAGGTGCCGCCGGTATTGGAAACGGACATTGTACGAAAGAATTAGTTCAGGGGTGCAGTACAGTTTCCTAGTTTTCTTTGTTCCAAATCGAAATTCCTAGGACGCAATGAAAGCAAAATACTCAGTACACGTAATGGGTGGGCTGCACTAATCCAAGAGGGATGAATTAATACCCTTGCGTATACGATGCATCACAATAAAGCACAGTCAGAAGAAAAGTACTCGAATACAGTAGTAAATATTTCAGTTTCATTAGAACCCATACGGAAAACTAAAGAGTCAGTGCGTTAACCCCCCCCCCTCCGTCATCCTGTACAGTCCTGTAATGTAAGACTAGTTTAGTTCTCGAGACGAAGGATACAAAGCAATTGCGACAAAAATATATTTTCGAGCTGAAGCTTAAAAAGATGATCAATCTCATATTTTCTTTATAAAATAGTGTCTAAAAAAAAGGAGAAGATTTTCAAAGTTTTGAATTACAATATTTGTGATGTGTCAGCAGAACTTCAAGAAACTTCTATACTGCTCAATTGTTCGACCACAACTAGAGTACGCTTGTGAACTATGGTCACCCTACACGTCAAAGGACACACTATTACTAGAAAATGTTCAGCGCAGGGCCACAAAGTTTATCTTGAATTATGCAAGAGATCTCTCCTATAGGGATCGGCTGTTGAAACTTTCTTTACTACCACTAGAATATAGAAGGGAAATGAAAGACTTGGTACTTATCTATAACGCTAGAACAGGTTACACTGATTTGGGTCACCAAGACTTTTTCTGTCAAACTGTAGTTCGGCAGAAAACGTGTAATTCGAGTGAATTAAACTACCAAATACCACACGCAAAACAAAATTATTTAAAACATTCGTTTTATTACAGGTCCATCAATTTTTGGAACAAACTACCAAGGGATATTAAAAGTGTGAACTCATTTCATACTTTTAAAACGAGGCTCTTAGACTTTTATGCTGATAAAACCCTTTCTTATAAACTTCCAAATCGTGAGGGTGTAAGTTAATGACATCACTTTTTAACTTGATTGTAAATAATATGATAATCATTATTATTTTTAATTCCCATACTTTTACGATTACAATTATTATTACTATGTTGTAAATTATTTATTGGGGCTGAATATCAATTGGGACATCGTCCTGTTTTCTTCTTCAGTTGCTGATGTTATTTTGTAAGCGTAACAAATTCAATAAAGTTCAAAGAACTTTATTAGGGATTAAGGGGGGCATTTCATTTTCCCTTTCAGTTTCGTTTGAAAAAGGAATGGACCAATTCTTAGCTTTTTCATTCCCATCCATAATATTAACTCTTTGTTAGTTAAGATTTGGTTTATCTCAATAATTAGAGTTTACATAGCGAAGATTAAAAGCAAATTGGAGGCCGAGACAATCGTAGAACTCCGAACTGTCTAAAGTTTCATCTACCGAGTGGAATCTGGGATCTAGGTTTCCAGATGTTTGTTGACGTCACAACACGAGGCTTTCAGTTTTCAAAACATCATGGCGACAGCTGTGATATTAAATGCAAGGAAATATTCGCCAGATTTTCAATGCAAACGTCATGTAGCATCAGCGGAGGAGCAAGAAAATCATCTTCATGAAACCTAAAACTCTTAGGAAATCACGATTAGCCGGAGCTTTCGCTGTAGAAGGCTCCAGAGCTCGAAGAAGTCAAGTGAGTTCGATAAAGCTTCACGGGTTTGTGAAGGAAATTGTTGTTTGGAGAAGACGGCATTTGGTAAATTGTGAACACCTAAGACATTCTCTTCGAATTGGACGAACTTTCACTTCCTTGTTAGATTATTTTCATCATGCCAAAGAAAGAAGAAAGCCTAAAATGGGCGTGCAAGTATTGCACCTACTTTAATTGGCCTTGTTCTGTAAAATGTACTTTGTGCCATGCACCAAGACCGCCTCAGGTTATCACGCAAGAAGCAAGCAGAACAGCAAATGTATCAGAGGATATTTACGAGGCTGCTAGCAGCGATAGGATTATCTCAACTGACCCGCTTATTTGTTCGTCGAGCGACAATAAAAGCTTGTCACCGCGAGTCGCCGAACAGACAGAAGACAACTCGAAATGGACCTGTGCTTGTTGTACCTACGAAAACTGGCCTCGCTCTTTGCACTGCGTTATGTGCCGAGCTTCAAAACAACAGTCAAGCAAGAACGGAAGGCATACAGAGTGTGGAAATGGAAACAGGGATGCTTCCTCTCGAAGTGTGTCTCCTAAATCACCTCGTTCTGTCAGCGGCAACGGTAGGTTAGACTCCAAAACAATCAACAATGACAAAAACCGCGCGCTTCTGAAAAATCACAAGTGGACTTGTCCGCAATGTACGTACGAAAACTGGCCAAAAACTACTAAGTGCGTCCTTTGCAAGTGTTTGAAGCCGGCCAAAATAAAACAAGAGGAACTCGCGAAGAACACTTCGCAAGACAATAACACAAAAAGACCATCCACGTCAAAGAGAAGATCGCCTTCTTCATCTGTCAGTGAAGCCACTTTAGAAATCCAGCCGAGTAGTCAGATTGGCGAAACGATAATTTATGACATTCCAGCCTCAGACGATGTCAATGATAATGAAGAAGTTCTTCAAATCCGAAATTGTTTAAAAGACTCTGACTGGTTGTGGTTGAGTGCTTGTATAGGAGTAGTTGAAGGTGATACGGCTTCTGTGGAGAGCTATTTAAACTCTGGTAATGATCTTTCCAGGCAATTGACAAGAGAAGATTGTTTGGTGCTTAACAGACCTGGAGTGTTTGAAGTGGGGCACACATTAGTACATTTGGCATTTAAATTTAAAAGAGAAGAGCTTATGACAATTTTGCTTACTCCAGAAGTGACAAGCCATCATTTAAGACGTGTTCCTTGCATAGCATGCCCAGAACTTGCTGCAGACATCAGAAAACAGATGGGTCACACCATGAGGCAACGTAAAGGAGACTGGCGTTGTTACTTCTTTACGGACCAGGTCACATTTGTTCTCCCAGCAGGTGATAATTTTATCAAAATGATTGTAATTTTAACCCTTTTTGTAAACCTGACTATCAGCTTTTTAACCCTTCAATTTTCAGACATGGCAAGTATCCAAGGTGCTATAAATAGCAGCACAGAAAATTTGCGACCCCATTGCCTGATAAAGACATCCAGTATAGCAGTCAAAACATCTCAATCAATACAATTAAAGCCTGACTCTAGGTTGTGAGACAAAACGATTAAATGATTCATTAATGCACAAAACCACAATAACAACATTTTCTCTATCATATCCAACTGTTCTTTACAATTTCAATACATGAAAATAAGAGAACTTTTTAGCCTGAAGACAGGGATCTTGAAAATAACTGACTGATCTCAACTGATTTAAGTATCTTTTAGCTGGAAAGGAGAATTAAAGATCAGTTCATGGGAGATAATGGATTTTAAAAAAGCTTTTCAGGCAGGCAAAGAATATTTGTTCTAAAAGGGAATATTTCAACCTATGCACCCTTCCCCTCTTTATCTTTTACTTTATGAGGTTTCCATAGTCACATAATTGATTCAAGAGGGTGTTTGGTTTACCTCTGGTCTTCTGCAGCCTTTTTTTTTCAGCCCTTTCAGGATTTTTCTAAGGTTGTTACAAGTAGCTATAAAAATTGGGTCCCACTGTACTTTATCTCAACAGGCATACCCCAATTTACATTTGTCAATGCAGAAAGGTCAGGAAGGTTTGGTATTGGTCTTTGGTTTTTATGTGATTGTAAATTATATCGCAATTTTAACTTTTTTCAGAGATTCAAGACTTTCCAGGAAGAGCACAGAGGCAAGTGTTTGATGACATCCTAGATAGGGAAGTTCAAAGAGGTGAGATGACAAGTCATCTTATGGTTATCAGAATTGATATCAGATTTTTCCTGTTTTTATTGATACTTATAAGCAAGGGATTCTTAAAACTTTTGACGATAAAAATCAACGGTAAAACACAACATTTCGACCGTGCTTCGGTCATTGTCAAGTGAATGGAATGAAATACAGTAAATATATGTATATATACACGTAAGAAATCTAAAAAATTTTTGCAGGTGTAAACAAACGATAAAACTACGAAGAAAGTGCTAGTAAAAAGCTAATTAAAAACCTTAGCACGAATTGAATCAGACTGTACATTGAGAGCAGGTCTTAGCTTGTGAATAAAACACATCTCATAGACGAGACAGTCACATTTGTTTGTGCACTTCATTAAGGTGCTAAAGTTCTTTGTAAGATCCTTTGGAGTCAACTTTTCACGTTTAACAGCCGGCTATATGAACAGATCGACGGAGTTGCTATGGGCTGCCCCCTTGGTTCTCTGTTAGCCAATGCTTTTATGTGCAGCATCGAAGAAACCCTGGAGCGTGAAGGCAAGATGCCCACGTACTACAAGAGATTTGTTGATGACACATTGACCATTATGCCGAACAAAGCATCAGCAGATAATTCCCTCGACATTTTAAACCAGTGCCATTCCTCTATTAAGTTTACCATGGAGACAGAGAGTAACAGCTTGCTCCCTTTTTTGGGCACGCAGCTGCTCAACAAACTTACACATGTTGAGACCAAGGTGTACGTGAAACCTACAAAGACGTGCCTTTTACTACATTACAAGAGCCATGTAGATGATCGTTACAATTGTGGGTTATTAAAAACTATGCTTGATGGTGCATTTCGACTTTCATCTAATTGGCGTTATTTCTCTGAAGAATGCGATCAACTTAAATCAGTATTTTCTTGTTTGAAATATCCTGATAATCTAGTCAATTCTACCATTTCACAGTTTGTTGCCACCAAAGTATCTGATCAACCAGTTTCCTTACCTGCTGTCAGCGATCAATCGAACCCCTTTCATGTTGTCCTACCGTATAAAGATCAGGCATCCACTGATATTGTTCGTGCTTAACTTAAAGATCTAAGTCATAGGATCCAGACGACCTTACAAACTGTATTTGTTAGCCAGAAGACTGGTCAAGACCTGAAATTGTGAGAAGCTAAGCCACCGATTGTGAACCAACAGTGCCTTGTTTACAAATTTCAATGTGACCTGTGCGATGCAGGTTATGTCGGTTTCACACGCCGTCATCTACACCAACGTACTGAAGAACATAAAAAACTCCTCTTCGTCAATTGGCAAACATTTTCGCGACAAACATTCTTTGACTCCAAAGGATCTTACAAAGAACTTTAGCACCATAATGAAGTGCATGAACAAATTTGACTGTCTCGTCTATGAGATATTTTTTATTCACAAGCTAAGACCTGCTCTCAATGTACAGTCTGATTCAATTCATGATAAGATTTTTAATTGGCTTTTTACTAGCACTTTCTTTGTAGTTTTATCGTTTGTTTACACCTGCAAAAATTTTTTAGATTTCTTACGTGTATATATTCATAGATTTACTGTATTTCATTCCATTCACTTGACAATGACCGAAGCACGGTCGAAATGTCGTGTTTTACCGTTGATTTTTTTTTGTCAAAAATTATTTTTACTGCCAACCATACTTAGATTTATCTGCAATGCTTGGTATCCTTTCATTGTGAATGTTTTGCATGATAAATTGTGTTTTTCAACATTTTCAATTGATGCTTATATTGTTAATTTTCATTATGATGTAATAAGTGAAGCTGATGGTTTGCTGTTATTCACTAATTACGTTAAGAGTGTCTTGCCCAAGAACACAAGGACTTAGCCCTCTCTATCCAAAGTTCAGTGTTCTTTAAATTTCAATCCAAAAGTTATGCAATTTATGTTTTCTCAATATGTTCCCCTTATCCCCTTCAGTTCTAGAGATGGAGTCCCCTGTTATCAACTGGAGTGAAGAGATAACTGAACAGTTAGGAAGCAGGATCTACCCCTTGTGGAATCGTTCTGCGGGTGACTGCCTTCTGGACTCGATTCTTCAATCTTCATATGGTGTCTTTGACAGAGATAATACTCTAAGACGAGCACTTTATGACAGCTTAACAGAGGGAGGCTCAAGGTCAGGAATATGTCAACATTTTTTGGGCAAAGTTTCAACATCTTGCCTCACAAACCTGTCATCCATTCACTAGTTGAAACCCATTACCAGTAAATTAGTTTCATCTCAAAACTTGGAAACAGATGCAATACAAGTGTCTTCGATAGTTGTGCAATTTTTGTAAAGTATTTTTGGTAAAATGAGGTAAATGTAGCCAGCTGAAGATAGCAGACTATCCAGTGGTTTTGGACAGTCAATGGGTCTTGTTACTTACTTTGTTATTTGTACAAGGAGGAATGTTAGTTTTTGTTTATTGAAAAGAGTCATTTGAGGAAAGCTGTCTCGATGAAGAGGTTCCACTGACATTGAAATTTCTTTATTTCTTTATTTTGAATAGGGCAGTGTTTTTTCCCCTAGGTTTTTTAATAGGTACAAGGAGTGGGAATCTATGCAAGCAGAAACTCTCCAATATTCTCTAGATGAAGATCAATGGGAGCAAGACTGGGCCTCCATTCTTAGTCTTGCTGGTCAGCCAGGAACTTCCTTAGAGCAAACACATGTATTTGCTCTGGCGCACATTCTCCGTCGACCAGTCATCATTTATGGTGTGAAATATGTCAAAAGTTTTAGAGGAGAAGTGCTTGGGCTTGCTAGATTTCAAGGTACTTTTCATTTGGTCAATTGTACCTTAATTGCATCTTTGTCTTTGTCATTGTCTGTCATTTACCCCTTTACACCTTAACATGAGCATGCATGTTCTTCATACTGTTCTCTGTACATTCCTAAAGTACCAATGAGGAAAATTTGTTCAGTCCTTTTAACTCCCAAGATCTGATGGTTAATACTCCCTCCAGCTGCTACACATTTCCTTGTACATTAGTTAGGAGAATTTAGTGTTAGATCAAGAAAACAACTTCTACCTGATAACTATGAGTATTCTCTTTACCCTTTTGCTGGATAACGTATGGTTATGGCAGGGAGAAGTTACAAGTTAATCCTACATATCCCAAAAAAAAAAAAAAAAACCCCTGTGTGGGGTCCCACAGGGCTCCGCATTAGGACCATTGCTGTTTCTTATTTGTATCAATGACATTTACAATGCTTCAGATAAATTAGCATTTATTTGTTCGCTGATGATACAAATCTGCTATTTGCTGACAGAAACCTTAAATCTCTTGAAACAGTGATTAATGTGGAACTAATGAATGTTTATGATTGGCTAGTCTCAAATAAACTCTCTAAATGTGAAGAAAACCAATTTTGTCATCTTCCATCCCAGCCAGAAACAACTTAATTACAAAGTAGATCTAAAAATATATGATAACAACAGAAAACATTTCATTTGCCTGGAGTGTAAAGACTATGTGAAATAGTTAGGTGTACTTATTGACAGTAACCTTACCTGGAAACATATCAGTCATATTGCATCAAAAATAAGTAAAGGCATTGGTATAATTTATAGACTAGGGCATCTTGTACCATATTCGACATTGCTAAATATATATAGATCGCTCATTTATCCCTATTTCTCATATGGCCTTGTCGCTTGGGGCCAAGCAGCTAAGTCTCGTTTGAAAAAAATATTGATACTCCAGAAAAGGGTTGTGCAATTAATGAACTTTGCCAACTATAATTCACATGCCATTCCTTATTTTATGTTGACTAATATTATGCCAGTTAATGCTTTACGTTAAACTCTCTTCTCTCTTAATGCATGTCCATAACAATTTAACCCCCCTAATCTTTCTGGTATGTTTACTCTTTCCCACCAAATACACAATCACAATACCAGATCTTCATCTGCCGGTAACTATTACAGAAACTGTTCTAGGCTAAATCAACATAAAAACTCATTCTCAAGGACTTGTTGTAAAATTTGGAATAGCATCCCAGGAAACCTAAGGAATCTTCCAAAACGTATTTTCAAGAAAAAGATAACCAATATTATTTCAAAATCTTCAAGTCCAGGATAGTTATGTTGACATAGAACAAAATTAATAATCAATGATTTGTCGAAAGTTAAATCCAGTTAATAGTAGTGTGTAACTTATGTATTCTTCTATTTATTGTCATGATGTGTTTCTGTTTCTGTATTTTTATCTCATACTGTCATTTGTGCTTTACTGATTTAATATTTAATTTCTGTTTCCTGTATATTTACTGAATCTTTTGTTGAGCCAAATTTTATTTTAGATGTTTTAGCGTCCACACACTACCCGCCGAGACTAGCTCTGCTATTTGTGGGTATTGCAACATTATGCGAAGTGTCATGTCCTTTCTGATTACAATAAAATACAAAAAAAATTAATAAAATAAAATAGTTAATCACTTGTGGGAGTTAGAGGGGTTAACAATCAAGAGCTTCTATAGTTGGTGATCCTTTACTTTGACATTAGTGTGGGATTCAAGAGTGACACCCTTAGGAGTCAAAGGGTCAATAATGTCCATTTTCAGCAATATTTTCCTTAATTGTAAAAGTATTGTCAACATATGATAAAGGGAAACTGTACATCTGAAGGTTTTTTCAGTGGAATAAGAATGCATGTTCTTAACAAAACCTTTGAGCTTTGGAGATTTTATCCCAGTTGGCCTTCTAAATATTTTTGCTTATGTTATCTTCAACTATGTTCTTATTTCAAATTCAGTGTTCTCCCTTATTTTATACATAACGGGTAAGGGACATTTTCAAACCAGTGTAGAGCAATCCTTTTACTTGTTGGATTTTCAAGAATTCCAAGTGATTTTCGACAGTATTAATGGGTACCACAGGCAGTACATTTTCCAGTCACTACCTGAAAAGGAAAACTCTGTAAATTGTTTCAATGTTTGTTCCTTTAATGATGTTTATAGTTTATTGATTTATATTACTCTCATTGTTTGTTTTAGGAGTTTATCTACCTGTTTTATGGGAACAGACTTTCTGTTGGAAGAATCCATTAGTATTAGGCTATACAAGGGGACATTTCTCTGCTTTAGTTGCAATGGAAACTGATAACTCTAATGAACTTGGTGCAGGAGCCAATGTGGATAGTATAGACAGTGTTCATGTGACCTATTTACCACTGGTTGACTACGAAGGCAAATTGCTACCTGTTCACTTTTTGTCTGCAGAGGAGGTTGGTACTTTCTCATTACAAAGATGTTCAAGACCCTTCATCTGGATTATGTAAATAAGACTATGCCTTTATGCTAGATTTACCTACTTTGCTGTTGTAGCTTATCCCAGTTTTTGCAGCAAAAATTATTATTGTTTCCTGCATTAGGGTCTTAAACCCTAACAATGGTATCCAAATCCTCTATACTGTTCTCTGCACCTTTCCTAAAATGCTGACAAGGAGAATTTGTCCAGCGATCAAGAGCTTTTTAATCTGCAATTATTTCCTTTATTCTTGTGACCTTTGTGTTATTCAGGAATGATAATGTAAGTAGAAATTAGATACTAGTCACTCTTTGGGATCAAAAGGTTAAGCTTATCAAAACATATCATGTAATCCTTGTCTTTAAATTTGCAGAGGGGCAGTGAAGAGCGCTTGCTGCATGAGTGGCTAGATTGTTGTGTGACAGAAGGTGGGGTCCTAGTGGCAAAGCAGAAGCTAACACCAAGACCTGCGCTTGTCAACCAACTAATTGATGATTGGTTGGACCGCTACAGGAAACTAAACAAACCCAAATGATTAGGATTCTGGGTTAGAACTAGATACTGTAGATACTAGTCATGCCTTTGTGTGACATGGACATTCTGTGGTGAATTGCATATATTAGATCAATTGCCATATTGGCTACCAGTTTTGAGCCTTGCCATAAATTTTTTGGCCCATGAAGAGGATCTCTTAGGCAAGTGGCAAGCATAGTCATAGAGATCTTAAGACTTCTCTAGTCTCTCCTATAGAGAGGATAAATTGCGGTGCATTCAAGTGTAACAATATGAAATTATACACCCATATTCTGGAATTTGGAGTTTACATAGCAACAAACTCAGCACTTTCTACTGAAACCTTGCATCTCAGTTTCTTTTCAGCCTTTTGGTTCTTCTGTATTGAGTTACAAACTAAACTCTTTTACTTTGGAAAGTTAAGAAACAGAGATAGTACAGAAGAGTTGACTTTGGTTTTATGTAAGTGTTAAAGTTTTTTTTATTGTAAGGGGAAACTGTTATTAACAGTTTGCACTGTTTGTAATTTGCACAGATATTCTTTTCATTGTGACCATACTTACCTTTGAAAATTCTTATGTGTAACCACAGTAATTGTTCTCAACTTAATGGTTCCCACATTTTGCTCCATTTTGAATGGTGCCTCATCACATTTTATAAATGTGAAGTAAAATAAACTGGCAAATGGTCACGTAAGATTTTGGTGAACATATACTGTTTATATACTTAAGTTCTATTGCAGTCATCTTAGGGCTAATAGAAGTGGCAGAATTACCAGCGGTTGCTTAAAAATCTTTTTCATGTAAGAGTGTTTCTTTGATATACTAAAATGATATGCTTTGGCTGCAGTTGTATTACAAAGTCTTATCTATTATGGCACGCAAAGTTTTCCAAATTACTTCTGTCCTTTTTTTTGTGTCTGTAATATTAGGAAACCTGCTCATACAATTAAGCGTTATAATCGGGAAGCTTGCTATTATTAAGTTTTAAGTCTTGCCGAGTTACAGCTCCTCTGAAATTTGAGTTATAAGTATTGGAAATAACGAAAAGACAGGAGTGAATGGTCTTCATTTTTGAGATAAGCTAATCGCCCTTATTTATCCCTAATCAGTTATTTCATAAAGAAATTACTGTAACCACAAGCTGCAAAATAATATTAAGGACTACTGAACTTAAGTTTTAGTTAATTTTCCGTCTTTGAACGTAGAATTTACGCTAATAATAATTGCTCTAACGGGCAGATGTTTGAATTATTGTATAGCTGTTTTCGAATACGGTCCAGTCACCAAGATAATCACGTACTGTATTCAGGTAACTTTCAAATAAAGCTTTAAGAGAATTATTGGAATTTCTACATTTGAATATGCAAGCGATTCAACGAAATGAGTGTATAAAAATATTTTCAGTTAGGTTGCATTCT